CAGCCTTCTCTTCTTCAGGCTGAACAAGCCCAGCTCCCTCAGCCTCTCCTCGTAGGGGAGATGTTCCAGTCCCCTCACCATCCTTGTAGCCCTCCGCTGGACTCTCTCCAGTAGCTCTTCATCTTTCTTGAACTGGGGAGCCCAGCACTGGACAGGTGCACAGCTGTGATCACGGCCGTGTCGCTGCCATGACAGGGTGTTAGGGCACGGGATTGCAACGCGGGCCATGTCCGTAGCGGAGGTGCCATTGCGAAGCCACGCTGTCACAGCCACGCACGGCTGGCTGGGCCACACGATCGTTCAGATGGCTCTGGGGCTGGTGCACTCGGTTTTGGGCCCCAGACCTGGGGGATACGGCACCTCCATTCTGCCCTTCTCCACCGTACGCTAGATGTATTTCTCTGCCTGGACCGCTCTGTGGTGGGTCACCCACAGGTTGTGACTTAGCAGCAGGCATACTGGTCCCGGAGCTTTTCTTGCAGAGCAGTTGTTGGGATGAAGAAGAGATGAGAGTTGAGGGGTTTGCTATGTGCTGGTAACAACCAAGTCTGAGCCTGTTGTTAGCAGTCTGTGCGGCCATGACTCCTCAGAAGGGTGGCTGTGGAGCAAGGCAAGATTTTGCTCCTTGTTCTCTCTGGGCGAAGCAGGGAGGCATGGATAGGCTGCCCTGATGTGCACCAGTCTACCCAGTGAGTCTACCTCAGACCCAGCAAGGCCCTCCCCTAAGCCCACTACACTAACACAGGATACCTTCTCTCTCTACTTTCTCATCAGGAGCTTTTCCCAGTGCTTCCCATCTCATCTGTGCTCAGCCAGCGTGGAGGTTGCCCTTCCTGCTTCTCCAGCCCCTGAGCAAGAGCGGCCGTACGTCTCGGTGGCGATGGGCAAGATGGACAACACCTCCGTGGATCTGAACTCTCCCTCCGAGGTGAAGCAGGCAGCCCTCGAGGAGTCGGAGCCCATCGCCCTTGAAGCTGTGAGCACCAAGAAGAAGAAGAAGAAGGAGATCCCAGACAGAGGCTCCTGGAAGGGGAGATTCGACTTCTTGCTGTCCTGTGTGGGCTATGCTATCGGGCTGGGCAACGTCTGGCGCTTCCCGTATCTCTGCGGCAAAAATGGAGGAGGTGAGAGAAACACTCCACGCCTGCACTCCTCCCTGAGCAGCCTTCTTCCCTGAAGGGTCTTTGGTTTGGTGTGGGTCTGGGCAAGCAGCTGCTCCCCTGGCTGAGAGCTCTCCCTCATTAAGTGCGTTATTAAGCTGTCAGGAGATTAGTTCTCACGGTCTGTGGGCTTTACGAGCAAGTGAGGTTGGGAAGAAGCAGACCAAAGAAATATGAGAAGTTTCAGTTTTGTCAAACTTCTGCAGGGCTACAGCAAAGAGCACCTGGGACCTCATTTATTCCCAAGGAGGGCTCTGCACGTGGGCTCCCAGCTGGATGCTGGGGCATTGCCGGGGAAATCGGTTTGTATCTGCTAATGGTGGGCTTCTTCTCAGTCTAGTGTACTCTCAAGGGGTAATCGTTTTGCATCGGACTTTAGGTCACAGGTCTGAGGAAGGAAATGAGCTCTGACTTACTACAGTGCTGTGAGCAGGGTCATGGTTATCACCTCCATCCTAATGTTTGGAAAACAGAGACCACGAGGGAAGGTGGCAGCAGGCGAAGGACTTACAGTAACTGCGATGCAGCTGGTAGCAGGGTCCTTCTCTGCCGACAGCCAGCACCAGCCTTTTTTGTTCTTTTTATTCTCGCCCCGCTGCATTCTTTCCTTACCAGTCCTCAGCTGAGACTTTACCAAACCGTTGCAAGGCTAGAGAAAGGCAGGCAAATGGGGAAACAGCGCTGGGCTAGAAATCAAGAAATCTGGGAGATCAGCTCCCTGCCCAGCTACAGGCTTTCTGCATGTCTTGGATCAAGTCAGAAAATACGCTCCTGTGCCTCCGCTCCCCTCTAAAATGATGCTATTTGTTTAGCCTTGGCAGGGAGATGTTTTTGCAGGGTGGATTATGGGCTGCTTTGGTGTCAGTAGAGCAGAGGCTCTTTCCTCTTCTCCCCCATGCCCAGCTCTCCCAGTGTTTGTACCTGTTCCTGAAATAACCTTCCCTCCCTGCTGAAGTGCTGCTCACCTCCTCGAACCATTTCTCAGGCTTCTCACGCAAGTCCAGACCCCTTCACCTCACCTTTAAGACTGTATATATAATTTTAGTGTCCCTTACTACTCTTCCCGTATTGCTCTTTGCTTCCCTCTTAGCTCTTCACTGCCCAGAGTCCTTGTCCCCAGTGCCACATTCATTCATGCTGCTCTGAGGGCCTCTTCTCATGCTCGTTTTCCAAGTCTGTTTTCTTTTCCTTTTGCTTTGAATTCTCTTTCTAAAAACCCGCTTTGCCTTTGGTTCTCACCACTTCTCCTGAATATTTCCAGCTTGCTTCTGTCCATGTCATAGGTGGTGTAGGATGCTCTTCTCCTCCCGCCCTGGGAAAGCAGAGCGGGGTCTAGCTACCTGCGGTGGTCTGTCCACTTAGCTCCATGGCATTTAGGGGGATCTTGACCCTTTCTCTGAAGCACATGGGGCAAGTCCCAGTGAGAGACCAGACAATTATCCATTTTAACAAGAAGATCTCTAATCCAGTATGTCATTTTGTGCAGAGGTGTGAGTATGCACCTGAGCCAGGTGGGGTTTATGGGAACGAGCCAGGCCTACCTAGGGGAGCCTGTGCTATCATCACCGGAGCCGTGGTGCGGGTCTGCCGTTTTGATCTAGCCACACTCTGGCACCTGAAAGTGCTAGCCCTCCTCATACAACATTAGCCCAGTGGCTAAGTCCCAGCACTGCTTTTTAGCCCAGTCTCTGCCCTGTGGTTGCCGCGCCATCTCCAACACACCAGGTCCACGCTGTCCACGGCTCTGTCTCCTCACACCTGAATGCGGGGATGACAATATCTATAATTAGATGAGGGGTGTTTTGAAGCAAAAATTAATCCTATTTATAAAGGCAGCTGAGATCCTGGGACGGAGGGTGCTGTGGAGGTGTGGAGTGCTATTATCATAGAATCATCGAATCATAGAAAGTTTTGGGTTGGAAGGGACCCCTAGAAGGTCATCTAGTCCAACCCCCGCAGCGAGCAGGGACACCGCTAACTAGATCAGGTTGCTCAGAGCCCTGTCCAACCTGGTCTTGAATGTTTCCAGGGATGGGTGCTCCACTACCTCTCTGGGCAACCTGTTCCAGTGTTTCACCACCCTCATTGTAAAGAATTTCTTCCT